TATGTGCACCTACATACCAAATTTTAGAAGAATCGGTTCAAAAATGTGGGAGTTATTCAAAATTTTATGACGTCACGACACACAAAATCTTTGAAAAATGACTTTTTTGGAAGTTCTAGACCTCGTACGGAAACAAAAATAGCACCATTCGATTCGCCGTGAAAAACTGCATCAGATAGACACCTTTTTAGGCCTTAACAACCAACTTCAAAATTTGACCTCACTTGACCTGACCTTGACCTGACCTCGACCTGAAATTCATCCAGAGGTGGTCCATATCACTTATTGAGTGTGCCTATTGAATTCTATGAGTAAAATGACCCATAAAACATGTGTCGCACATGCCCTTTTCTATATTTTGTTTTTTGGTGACCTGACCTGACCTGACCTGACCTTGACCTTGACCTCTGAATGATATTGTATGCAACTAATATTGTCTTGGTAGCCTAAGAACACGTTTTGGGCGATCAGTCTCAGTCCATGACTCCATTCTTCGGCAACTACGGTGCAAGGCCGATACTGTAGAAACTTGCAATTTGTACCCTTGACCTGACCTTGACCTTGACCTCAAACTTTAAATTAAGTACATGTTTTTAGTAGTTCGTGATGAGAGCTTTCGATTGGCGTTTGAATTTTCCAAATCGGATCATTAGTTCGGGAGATAACAGGGGGGGTAAAATTTACCCCCCCCCCCCCCAGCCCCGCGCGTTCGGCTGGAGACCCCAGCCCCGCGCGGGTTAAGAGGCTAAGCAATAGGTAAAAAGTTGGTATTTTCCTCATGTTCCCAAGTTGGTTTGGTTTCGGTATTTCTCCACGGTTTTGGTTGGTATTTGGTTTGGTATCGGTATTCCGATTTTCCGTTATTGACATCATTAGTTATGACTGTTTCGGACCCCAGTGCCCTTACAGCCGTACTTTATCCAAGCCCACCCCGCCTGCCAATGTGCGGGGGCCGTCTGTTTCCATACCAGCCGGACGGCGGCCATCTATTCTCATCGGAAGGCTGAGTGCGGCGGGAAAGGCGCGTCGCTGACTGATGCTTCCGCACTCCCATCGCGCCCCTCCACGTGTGGCTGGTTGCCAGTTTCGCCGCGTGGTGGCGCTGAGAAAAACGGACAGCATGTCCTCAACTGCGCACACAGACTAACCCTGGTTTGGTCTGGCCCTTAGGGCTGACAGCGATGTGATTGTGGGACTATGCCTAAGTAGCTAAGCTGGTCTATGAGCCGAGCGGGAAACAGACGTCTTCTGATGCTGGAATGGTTCTGAAGTTTATAACAGTGGTGCTTCAATGTTCAGCAGCTGGTCTGAATGGTATATTGTTGCGCCGGCACTGTTTCTGGAAGTTGTATCGGCTGTCGATTTGAGGAGTTTAAGCAGCGGCGGCTCTGGGAGGTACCGTCATCTCGCTGAGAGACCGCTCTGGCCCTGAGTGGTCGGACGGTGCCCCGGGGAGCCGCTCGCCTCAGATGTGGCTCGGATCTGTTTGCGGAGGCCTCGTCAAACGGGAGCACCGAGAGGCGATGGCTGACCGCCGCGGCCGCTCCGGGCTGACCGCCGCGGCCGCTCCGGGCTGACCGCCGCGGCCGCTCCGGGCTGAACGCTGCGGCTCTCCGCCACCGGGGCTGCAGCCAGTGCAGCCACAGCTCACAGAACGCTGCTGTTCGGACTGGTGCTGCCTCTGGGCAATGAGAACACTCGACTGATTTGAATAGTCTCCTGTCGTGTAGGATCGCCGACATCGAATCCTATTAAAGGTAGTGTGCCACCTTTGAAAGATTTCCCATTTTATTTTTCCTAGGATAAGAAGCTTCTGTTTTTACCTAATATCGCAAAAAAATAAAAAATGGGCCTGGAATAGTGCCTTTTTCGCCTAAAAGTTTATCGGTTTTTAGATATGTATAACAACTGTAGTGCGCTCACCTGCAAACAGGCGTCGGCAACAATCGCGAATGCGGCGCACATGTGACAATAAGCAAAGGTCATTATAGTGTTACGACCATACGACGTACGGGAATGAGTTATCAGCTGTCTAATCGTAGACAACACAATGTCGAGCCTAAAACTGTAAGCCTGTATTGGTATTGTTTCTTTTATTTGGCTGTCGAACATTATTTATGGTTTGAAATATGATTTTATGTAAAATAATTGATATGAAAAAGCCGTCTCATAAGTTATGACCCCATTTCACCACACGCAAGTGGCAGAAATGACAATGATCAGCTGACGCATTTTTCTTGGCCGAAGTCAGAGCGCGCAGACCGACGCACCACCACCGCACCACAAAGTATGAGCAGAAGCCGCGCCCAAAGCCAGGGCCCCGGTAACGTGAGGTAGCCGAGTCGGGGCAGCGTGCGCTGACCCAAGCCGGGGCCGCAGCTTTGGGCGCAGTCTACCGCATCCCCGCGGGCAGCCCCGGGCTATCACATGACACCGGGAGGACGCGCGGCTCCGGCTTGGGTCAGCGCACGCTGCCCTGACTCGGCTACCTCACGTTACCGGGGCCCTGGCTTTGGGCGCGGTCTACCGCACCACCTAACAGGCGTGTTCGAAACCGCAGGAGCTGATGATGAACGGGTTTATCGAAACTTGATTGGATGAGCATATCGGTAATAGCGATTTCAGTGTGTGCATTTATTGTTCATAGTGGTGTGAAATGTGGTTGGGGTACGACCGACAACCCGTCGGGGCGAATTTCGCACTGGGGTACTCAAAATTTGAAGAATTTAAGACGTTTCCATGAGTTTTGAAGGTATGGATAAGTTCTAAAAATCCGGTTCTCCTTATCTGGGCCATTAACTCCATACGGTCCAGGAAAGCTGGCACACTACCTTTAAACATCGCACGAAACTAAGATTGTCTTCTGTCAGCGGCCTCTCAGCTGGTTACGATAATCGAAAAGCGAATGAGCCAGCAATCTGCTCGACGAATTGAGCTATTGTCACTAGCCTGTCACCCAGGTCTTCTACCTGGGAGGACAAGGAATATGTTCGCCTTTCCTGTCCCGTCCTGTCTTGTCCGGGTCGGGTCGGGGCTGGTGTCTGTATCCCCGTGTTCCGCCTGAGAGGACAGGGAATCTGTTCGCCTGTCCTATCCTGTCTTACTCTGTGTTCTGTTCTGTCGTGTCCGGGCCGGGAGAAGACCGGCCGCGGCCGGACACAGCGGGTGGCTGTGTCCCTATGGTCTGTCGTGGGGGACAGGGAATCTGTCCGCCTGCTCTGCCCTGCCCTTCCCTGTCCTATCCTGCCCGCGAGAGGACCGGCGGTGGCGGCCGCGGCCGGTGGCTCTCGGCCATCGATCGGGGGCCGGGCGCCGGCAGAGCGGCCGCTGTCGATCGATGACGGCGCCCCTGGCGGCGGGCCGCCGCAGCCGGCCGCTGCCGCGCGCGCCCTGTGTGTGTGTGTGAGAGCTGCGGCAGACCGGACCGGACTGGACGGAACGGATCGCCGCGGTCCAGCGCGCCGCCATGCGGCCCGCGGCCACCGCCGACGGTACGTGACTCCGCGACTCGCGAGTCCCACTCACTGACTCCGACCCCCGGGCCGCCCCCTCCCCCAGCACCCGAGTCAGATTCACCGACTCACCGACTCACCGGGTCACCGAGTCAGGCTCACCGTGTCCAACCCGCCGAGTCCCACCTGGGCTCACACCCTTCATCAATTTGAGTCCCTCCCCCTTTTCAAAGCACCCCATCTACCGACTCGGCTATAACGCCTTTCGCTGTTTCTGGACTTCTAATTCGGCGTCCATGGCCTGCCGTTCCTGCCGGCTGTCGGCCATTCTGACCTGGCGGCGCGCTGAGCCCTCCGATAGCCGGCCGGCCGATCGGGTCCGTGCCCCGCCACAGCGATGGCCCGTAATGGGCCGTTCATTACCGACCGTTGGACCGTGGAGGTGGGTCTCCCCGCTCCCAGCACCGGCCGAGGCCGGTCGGTGCTGGTTGCGTGCAGGTATATGGGCCGCGGTCACCGGTTCACATCCAAGGCCAGGGACGAGGCTTTTCGTGTCGGACCGCGCGGCGCCGCCGGCACAGCCCAGCTGACCGACCCGACTCCGACTCAGGGCGACTTCTGCTCAGGCCCGCTACGGCTGACTTGGTCGGTACTATCGACATTTAACTTCATATCTCAACAATATGAACATAATTATAATCCCAATCCTGGGGAGTCTTTACCGACGTAGATGGAGGGCCATTCCAGTACCGGGTGCTGGCTAAGAGACGATCCAATCACCATTGCTTGGCCCAGCCGAAATCACGTCAGGTAAGGACTACTCGTAAGACACGTGACCGCTGTCCAAAGTCAGGTGTCAGTGAGGGCTCTGGCCGTGCCGGGCCTCAGCTGAGCTCAGCGTCACGGTCATTAAGCGGCAGGTCCCATGTCGTGTGTCGTCGGTGCGATTCCGTGTCATCAGCTGTCAGCTGATGTCCGTTGGTGTCCGCCCGGTTACGGTTGGAGTCCGCCCCAGCACCGGCTTATTGACGCCCTAGTGTCAGCTGATGTCCGCCAGCTGAAGCTCGGTCCGCGGCTGGCTGTGAGGATCGCTCACTGTTCAGCGGTAGGGAATGGGAATGATATCTGTCGGTTCTGCCTCGACCGCCGCGCCGGCCGAGGCCGTCACTGGCGCTCTCAGTAGAACGTCTACGGCCGAGCGGTGTCTGCCATGGGACCGCCGCTTTAGGGCGGCCCAGGAGTGACTCTTTTACACCGCGGCTCGGTGGAGTTGTTTTTGAACACCCGATGGGATGCGGTACTAGTTCAGGGCTACGGGAAGCTGGCATTGGACTGTGGTCGATTGTGGCATTGTATTATCGGTAGACTACCGGATATTTTCTGTCTGACTCATTGTCGATTACATCTTGCTTCTGTCGTTATCATGTTCTTCGGTCGCCATTTATAAAAATGCTCAAATTAATGACTGCTCGTGCATGGCTATAACTCACCTTTATTGATTTGTCCCGTGTTTAGTCCCATTTTTACACCGGCTGTTTTTCGTTGCAGGGTCGTCGACGGCGAGCCAGCCAGAGAAGCTGGACAAGCCCCCCACGCTGGTCAAATACGCAGTAAGTGCCGAACGGCCACACGTGCCTGGGCCATCAGATAGAATCAGAGGTCTCTGTTTGTCTTTGGAGTCTGTCGTCTTCGTCCTGCCAGTCCGATCACATCGATCGCTGTGTCTTATCTAAGGATGCTCTCATTCCCTCAGAAATGCACGCTGTGTGGTGGTATCTGTGTGGTATCTGAAAAAAAAACATCGAAATCGCTTATACATGCCTTCAATATGAGTGCTTACTGCTCGCGTTTGCTTTTTATGCGTTCATTTTGTCATCACCCCCTGGCCACTCTGCAGTGTTTCCCATACCGCCTGCCATGTGTAAACATCCTGCGCTCACTGCGCCACAATGGCCGCCGCGGCGCAGTTGTGTCGTGTTCGGTCGCCGGTCATGTGCGCCGCATGGGTCGGTCGGCGCTGACCATTGGTCAGAGCACTGGTCAGAGTGCCGGCCGCTCGGCTGTCGGCCGGGGGATCGGATTGCGCCGGCAGGCACGTGCACGGTCACATGGTCGGCGGTATTTGTCGCTGGAATGCAGGGCCGGTCGGGCGGTATACTAGACATACGGGAGGGGGGGGGGGGGGGTCCGGTGGTTCACGGTATGTCATAAAGGCAAGAATATTCACATGTGCAAATTACAGCTCAAGAAAAAATGTGTACCATAGATGCTTCGAAGGATGGGAAAACTGAGTTGGCATTTATCGGTGTGAGTTGTGGCGGGATGGCAGGACATCTTTCTCTGAAGAGACAAAACCAGAAATGCTTGGGTCCAAACCTTGCAGCGCTTAGAATGGGAAGCCCCTGTCAATATCCTGTGGTTCGCGTCTATGTATAAGACCCGAACCTAAGTCCCTGCTGTTCCCCTAAACTCCGTCCGTTTCTCGGCCAGTCTGCCTCGGCGACTGACACTCCATGTCATTGTATTTCTTGGGGAGTTATGGGCCGTTCGGTGCCCTGCACACCGGCCCATCGATTTCCTGCGGCCAGTGGCGGGTTGTGTGTTCACACTTCACCGACCGTCACCGTGACAGACCGCGGCTCTCCGAGGGACCCGCCCGACTTCCGTCCGGCCGTCCGTATCACCACTGCACTGCTGCTCTGGGTTCCTCCACTTCTGTGTCCTGCCATTTTACCTTTCGACGTGCTGTCATTCTGCAGTTCTGTACCCATAACGCCCCTTATTTCATTCCTATCGTACCTACATTCCTATTTCCTGCCTGTTTGCTCATTTTCCGTCGAAGCCCTTTGCTGCTTACCCACTGTCCTCCTGCCTCATCCTGCCGTCCTGTCCCGTCCTGGTCTGTTTTCTACTGTCCTGTTGAGTGCTCCGTCAGCCTGCCTCTCTGTCCTGCCTCTACGCCGTCACTCTGTCTCGCCTCTCCGTCCCTCTGTCCGCCTCTCCGTCCCTCTGTCCGCCTCTCCGTCCCTCTGTCCGCCTCTCTCCCCGCTCTGTCCGCCGTCGGGCAGGTTTGTCGATCAGCTGAGAGCGCGCCCGCCGAGGAGCTGTTATTGGCGAATTGGCCGGCCCCAGAGGCGGTACCGATCTCAGAGACGCAGCCGCGGCCGGCTGGATGCTGAGCGGCCCGGTGGCTCAGTGGCTCAGCAGCTCAGTGGCTCAGCGCCTCAGGAGCTGAGTAACTCAGCAGCTCAATGGGTCAGCGGCTCAATGGCTCAGCGGCTCAGATGGCTCAGCAGCTCAGTGGCTCAGTGCCTCAGGAGCTCAGCGACTCAATGGCCCGGACGGCTCAGCGGCTCAGTCGGCGGTATCGTAGGACGCTGAACATCGATTGGCCTGTCAGCGGCAGCAAAACTCGCCAGACGTCTGAACGCCTCGCTGCCGCGGCGCTTCCCGCGTCGGGGTGTCAGCGGACGATTTTTACTTTCCTCTGCGATTTCTGCGCGCAGCTGGGCACGAAATCGTCCGACTGTGCGGTGCCGTTCCGGCGCCGAGCACTCGATCCCGGCTGCTGTGTCCGCCGGCGCTGGGCGCCGCTCGTCGGTCGCGATGGCCCGATCGTCGGTCGACGGCCGCTGCTCGTCGTTTGTCGGGGACGCCACTATCCATCATGCGGGCGCTCCGTGTGGCGTCGCGCGGCGCCCGGCCCCTATTTGCCGTGCATCATAGACGACGGGAGCCGGCCGGCCGCGCGGCGATCTGGTGCCGGACCGGCGCCAGCGACGACATAATGTCGTTCGGAGCCGCCCGCTGTTCTAAGCAGAGAGACAGGCCTCTTTCTCTCTTTCCGTCTCCATGCCTCGCTCTGTCATCTATATGTTACAGTTAGTATGCGAAATCCGTTAGTTTGCAACGCAACTAGTTTCGTTGCAAACTACCTGACCGGCCAGGTAGTTTGCAACGAAACTAGTTCCGTTGCAAACTAACTGACCGTCCAGTTAGTTTGCAAACTAACTAGTTAGGATGCAAACTACCTAGTTACTTTGCAACGGAACTAGGTGTGTTGCAACGGAACTAGTTGTAATGCGAAATCGAAGAGGCAGTGGCGCTATTTGTCGTTAATATTCAACTTTTATGTAAATTTTAACAACGGTTGTTAAAACAAAGCTGTTTTTTTTAACGGGTGACACTAGGCATAAGACGGGTGGTCACATTTAGGATATAAACAGTGAATTAACCGGATTCGACTACATAACTTTACGATCAATGGCGGATCCAGAGGGGGGGGGGGCAAAGGCGCTTCGCCATCCACGCAGCGCCCGAAAGTGACAAATATTTACTTATTATGAGAATGAAACGAAAACTGAATAACTTTTACATTCAAATACTTGTTTTAGACTGCACAGCCGTGTGTAAGGATTGGAATCAAAATCCGAAAGTTTTTTGGAATTTGGAGAAACATTTTGGGATTATGTCTCCCGCAACGTTTAACCCGCGCACCGCTTGGGTCTGCCGACCAGCGCGCCCTGCTGGTGGGGGGGGGGGGGCAATTTGCCCCCCCCCCCTAAGATCTCGATAACCACGCAACATAGCGACAAGCGGCAAACGGTGTTGGATAGCCCCATCAGGGAACTACCTTATGACCCAATGTCGTTGACCTAGGTCAAACCGATGACGTTACAGGTCAGGTCAAATGTCGATTTTTCACCGTTTGCAGGCGTTTCAAGAAATGCTCTGTAAAATCGAGTAAAATGCATTTAATTGAAAATCATCGATGGGGAAATGTTCGTCAAACACATATTTTGCTATCTGAGGTCACTGATACCAGGTCAGGTCACTGAGGGTCACAATATGAAAATATCATGTGATGCATGTTTTATGGTCCATTGTATATGCCAAATACGATTATGTGGGTCAGGCAGCCTTTGGGGTCACTTTAGATTATGTTCCGGTGAAGGTCAGGTCAAGGTCAGGTCAAATTAGGTCAAATTTCAAAGTTGATATTTTTGCATAAAATGGGTATCGATTCGATGCAACTCGTCACGGGGAGTTCAATGGTGGTTTTTTTGTTTTGCGCTACATGGTCTAGAATTGCTAACAATTGAGTTTAAAAATATGACGTCATCAATTTTGAACAGTTTTTTCGCTATAACTTGGCCAAAAAAGGAGGTACCGATCTAAAATTTGGTATGTGTATAGAAAGAGCGCAGGGACTATCACATGTATTCCGGTTTTCGAAATTCGAAAAAAATGGGATTTTTTAAGCTTTTTAAAAAATCATTTTTTTAAATTTTTTGGGGGTCAAAAGCCAAAAATTTGAACATCCGAGATGGTAGTTTTGTAGCGCTGTCTTTTGTCTACATGACCATATAAAGAACTTTGAAATTACTTTGTAACTCTAGCTTTTGTGAGCGTTTCAAGATTTCATGTTTTTTGCTCATTTTTGCTCGAACATGACCTCAGTTTGACCTAAATAACTCCTGACCTAAGGTGACCTAAGACTTGAAATTTGGTGTGAAGGTGTCAAATTGAGGCCCGGAAAGGTATTGAAAATTTGGCGCCGCCGTTTTCTTGCCTATTTAGGAAAAACCACAGGGGGGCCAAACTGGCCCACGCCCAGCGGGGCGAGGGTTAACACCATCTTTCTGGAACCGCCAGTGATCACCATAAATGCGTAGACATAAGCGGAAAGTAAAGGTTATGCTGCCGATTTCGGAATATTCCAGAACCGAGTCGCTGACGAGCTCCTACCTCCACAACCGATCAGTCTGTGACGCAACATGCCCTTTGATCATTGGCTGTTACCGAATGACCCGGCACCGCTAGGTCACCTGGCTAGGCAAGTCGCAGTAGGAGTCGGCCGGTGAGACAGATTCTTGATCGCACGCTTACCCCGGATCACGGGACAATATGGGACAATACATTTCAGTTCTGTTCTGTGCGGCGGCGGTGGTGACTGGTGTAAGTGTGTGTCGCAAAAAAATCAAAATTGCAAAATGGCCCCCGGAACTGCCCCTCCTCTGGATCCACCAGTGATCGTTACATTATGTAGTAGAATCTGGTTAATTCACTGTTTCAATTTTCATCCATAAATGTTACCACCCGTCCTATTCGTATGTCTAGTGTCACCCGTTAGAAAAACACAGCTTTGTTTTAACAACCGTTGTTAAAATTTACACAAAAGTTTAATAAAAACGACAAATAGAGCCACTGCCTCGTCGATTTCGCATTACAACTAGTTCCGTTGCAACACACCTAGTTCCGTTGCAAAGTAACTAGGTAGTTTGCATCCTAACTAGTTAGTTTGCAAACTAACTGGACGGTCAGTTAGTTTGCAACGGAACTAGTTTCGTTGCAAACTACCTGGCCGGTCAGGTAGTTTGCAACGAAACTAGTTGCGTTGCAAACTAACGGATTTCGCATACTAACTGTAACATATACATTCCCTCAACGCTGATTCATACGATCTTGCCTGTTTGCTTTGCTTAGTAATGATTGCAGCTCCTTCAATCCAATATCAAGGTCTTGGTCAAACCTCAATGGCACACAGTTTAATGGGGAAGCTCCCTTTCTTTTCTTCCGTCCATGCCCTATCGAGGCCCATGTGACCGTGCTGTCGCTCAATGTCGTGACCGCTGTCTGGGAGGACGCCGCTACCTCAGCAGTCGGTACTCCGGCTGATCGGCCGATCGGTCCGGAGCGGCCGACCGGTCAGCCCGGCTCGGCAGTCGCCGCACGCGCCGCCGGAGCCCCGAGAAGCACCACTCATGACATTGTGTTGATCTGCGCTCATCCCATCAGGGCGAGTGGTGCCCGTCTGGCCGACGTCCTCGGCACGGGCGTGGCATGGATGCCGGCCGGTCAGCCTCCCCCGTCCCCTTCCGGCGGGGGGGGGGGGGGCGGCATTGTGTCCCGGGCAGCCAGAGTCGGCCGGGACCGGCGCAGTTTCCACAGGTCTGGAAAAAACCGGTGCGGTTTTGCTGCGTCGATCCACCCACGCACAAATAGTACTCACGCGCTCATAAACAGAGCCGAACAATTTGGTCGCGAGGCGTCTGCAGAACCTACGCGGCCATGTATTATTCCTGCAGTGGTCGGTGATGGAACCGTAGAAACGCGCGTGCATTGCCTCGTCAGCGGACGCAATGGCTGAAACTCCCAATCCATGTCGGCTATAGCTTTGAGCACACCGATGACCGGCCGATGGCTGGAGTGACGTCGGTGGCGGATTTATCGGCGGACGCGCGGCGTTGCTCGTGTCAGCGTCGGCCGCCAGGAGCGGCTGAGCCGAGAAGCCATCGGACGCGCCGCTCGGACGGGTGACATTCAGCCGCCGCCGGCATCTTTGAACTGTCATCGGTGGCAGTGGATGTCACGGCGAATGTTGTCACTGGTAGGGTGCCTTGTGGTCGCTTTGGGAGCAGAGCATTGCTCAGGCTCTTTCGCACTAGTAGTTTAAGCTGATCTAGATTTGTGTTTTGAAGCTGCGCATATTGAGTAGACGTATTTGCACTTTGATGTGCTTTTGCTGGAAGCTTTGAAGGCAGGTGGCTAACGTGAACATGTTCAAAGCTGATACAGTGATGTCACGCTCTATTTCTGCCGCGGGGTTATACTCGGCGGCGCTTCCCCCACGCCCTGATCGGCTATGCACTAACTGCAGACTCCATGTACGGACCTGCGGCGGCGGCAGTACGGGAACCCGCAGTTGCTACTGTACAGCGACTCTGAGTAAATTGCCCCAGCACCCTCACAGGGAACAACGATAAGCTGTCAGAGGGCACGCATAGGAAACTTCAGCTGCTCTTGTACAGGGACCAGCAGTCGATAACAATGTTATCGGTTGTTTCTGGACAGGACAGGCGGTTAGACTTGGGGTTCGTGTACAGTAGCAACTGCGGGTCCCCGTACCTCCGGTCGCGTGTCCCCGCTGATTGCGTCCACGTGGAGCCGATCTCGGAGAGAGGCGCCGATCGGGTCCGTCTCCCTCCCCCTGGCCAACTGCGCAGCAGTCCGGTCCGTCGGTCCTCGGTCCCGGGGGCGGGCCGACCGGCCTGCGCCGCTGGACGCATGAGGTGACCGTGCTGACTGATGGCCGTGTGTGGGACCTGCGACGGCAGCGTGCGGTGTTCTGCTCTGTTCAGTGGGCCGGCATTGATCTGAGGCGCCGCAGGGCGGACGGCCGACCCGCCGCGCCGCAACCCGGCCTGACCGGCGGAGGTCCTCCACTCTCTCCCCAGCAGTCTGACCCACAGGGGTCGTGTTGCCAACAATCCAGTCATCTGAAAAGCGTTCCTGTCCACTTCTGTTGGCAAAAATACCCTGATGTTTGTTAAGGTCAGCAGTTGTTTGCTCGGGTCATTCTGTTTGTCCTGGTCAGTTGTTCTGTTTATTCGGCTCAGCAGTTTTGTTTGTTTCGCTCAGCAGTTCTGTTTGTTCTAATCAGCGGTTCTGTTTGTTTTGGTCAGCAGCTCAGGTGAGTAGCTCTGTTTGTTTTGATCAGCAGTGCTGGTTAGCAGCCGTTTATTTTGGTCAGTGGTTCCGTTCATTCTGGTCCAGAAGAGCAGCTGCCCATCTCGTCCGTCCGTCGGTCCGTCCGTCCGCTTCCGTACCAGAGTGTTCTTTCGTGTCTGTCGGCTGAATCGATCTCGCAGAACAGCAGACCCGGCGGTCTGGACGGCTCCCCGCATCTGACTCCCTCCTTCCCCTTCTCCCTCTCTCTCTCTCTCTCTCTCTCTCTCTCTCTCTCTCATTCTCTACACTCTCTCTTTTATTTACGTATGTACAGCTTATTATTTTGTCTCCCTTTTTCTATGGTGTATTCTTCTATCTTTCTCATGTCTATCTTTATCTTGCCTTTTGCCTTTTCTCCTTTTCTCCCTCTCTTTCTGAGTCTCTGGAGTCTCTCCCTTTGCCTGCCTCCGTCTATTTGCTCCTGTATTTGTATCTACTTATGTCAATGTCTCTCCGTTCCTCTCCCTCCGGCTCCTCTCTCCGGTCCCTCCCTCTGCCCGGTGCGTCAGTCCCCGGTGCCCAGTCAGGCAGCCGCCGGGGAGTCCGTCCTGCCGTCCTGCCGACCGCCGACCGCTGGGCAGGGCTGGCCGACGCCCCGCCGGCCGGCCAATGGCTTTCCGTTTGCAGGCGGTCGATTCAATATTGAACAGCGACCGACTGCAGCGGACTGATGGGCCGATGACTGCTGTGTGGCTGCAGCCGACCGATCAGGCCGAGGGCGTCTGGGCTGCCGATCATGCCTGCCGCCGGTTCATACGAATAGGGCTCTGACCGGTCCAGCGGACATCTGGCGGGTGGCAAAAACACAACAGTTTTGTTTCAGTTACGATGGATGGTTTCTGTCTTCTAATTAATGCCATTTGGTTTGTCGCGAGTTTGTCGGTGCACATGTGACAGATGGCTGTCATTTTTGAGTCGTTGTTTTGTCCTTACCCGTACTGTCTCGATTATCATATCAAAGTCGTGCTAACTGCTCCTGTAAACCGTATCTGCTTCTCCGGCAGTCGAAGTTTTGTTCGTTTTTTCCGTTTTCTGTCCGTTCTTCTGTCTCCAATCACGAACATAGCCGTCTTACCACTCCATTCGCCACTGTTCCGTGTTGACCCGCGTTGTTTGGGTTTGGCCTAACCCGTGTCACTACCTGACCCCTTCGGCCACTGACCGACCCCTGCTCTGCCTCCTCAGGTGCAGGAGCGGGACACTCTGACCAGTATCGCGGCGCGGTTCGACTGTCTGCCCACCGAGCTGGTGAAGGCGAACCGTCTGAACGCGCGGCTCGTGTTCCCTGGCCAGGTGCTGCTGGTGCCGTCTCGCGTGGCCGATCAGCCGCCGGCCGCCTCCACCGCCGCCGCAGGCGAGTTGAACGGGGCGGGAGGGGAGGGGAGGGGAGAGGGGAGTGGCGTGGGATGGGCTGGGGAATGCAGAGAGGTAGTTGTCATGAGTCGCCGTACTTGTTTGTTTTTGTAATTAGGTAGCTAGCGTTCTGTCTTTTGCAGTGTTTGTTTTACCGGAACACTGATTTTACGCTCAAATAAACTGCTTGTATATAGTTTGTTAAACGAACACGGTTTCGCGCCACCTATGTGCCACCTCTTGCAATGTATCATGTTTTGTGGGTGCGGTGCGTTGTGTCCATTCTGCACTGGGTCGGTCCTTTGTGGGCCATTGAGCTCTCTTGCGGTGTGTTGTGATCCACTGTACGCCCGATCAGGTCACTCTCGTTTGGTGCGCCGGTCCGCTGACTGCCCGATCCCAATCCTTGGTGGAGGGTCGAGGGGCGGTGGGGATGGGTGCTGGGAACTGGGTGGGGGAGTAACCCTGTCCTTTCCGTCCAGTCCTTCCGTCCGGTGCCGGTGCCGGGGCGGCTGACCCGACCGGCGGTGCCCTCAGTGGCGATCGATGTCGTCCACGACTGACACGGCCGGGTCAATACGGCCGACGGCGCCAGGTCGGACCGCCGCACTGACCGCCGGGTGGCCCAGGGACCCACCCACTCAAACCGGGTCAGCTGAGGGAGCCACCACACCCGCTGAACCCATCACCCTGGCCAGGTTATTGTGTTGTTGTGTTGTCCCTCCAGGCTCTGGTGAGCTGTAGCCTAACGGCTCTGGAGGTACCTGGCGACCCTCGCCAGGGCCGCCACCGCGTCGTCTCGTCGCACGTCGCTCAGGCTCGGGAAGATGGTGCCGAAGATGCGGAGCCGGGCATTCATTAGCGCCGGGCACCGCAGAAGGACATGGTCCGGGGTGTCGGCCTCTTCGCCGCAGGCGCGGCACCATCCTGCCCGGCATCCCCGATCACTGCACTGGGCGCACTCCGGCGATGGGTGCCGCCCGATTCTGTGCAGGTACTGGGCTGACCCGGACCAGTGTCCTGCTCGTAGTTGGTGGGTCTCCACTGCGTCCAGCCTGTTGGGTCCACGAACCGGCGGCGGGGGACGCCCCTCCATCAGCGTGCGGTACCAGCCAGGAGGCCACTGGCTGGTGGTACGGGCACGCGCGAGTCTCGCCGCAGCTCGGTAGACCGTGGTCACGTCAACAGGGACGTCTTCTTGGGGGAGAGTTGAGGCATCTTTGGCGAGTTGGTCCGCGCGCTCATTCCCCGGGATTCCGCAGTGGGACGGTATCCACTGTAGGAGGACCTGGCGACCGCTCGACGACAGCTCCAGCAGGCTGTCCCAGATCGCAGTTGCGAGGGGCGATGACTGCGCAGACGGCCCCTCCTGCAGTCTTCGGAGAGCCGCCTGAGAGTCTGTGCAGACCACCACTGGATCCTCTGTGTGCGCCGGGTGCTGTCGCAGGTACTCGAGTGCTGCGTTGAGGGCTACGAGCTCCGCCCTGTAGCTCGAGCAGAGTTTGCCGGCAGCGACCCGCAGCTCCCGGGTCTCGCCGTCCGGCAGCTCGAGCAGAGCTCCAGCACCTCCGCTGGCGACTCCTCCGTCGGCCGCGCCGTCCGTCCATACCCACGTGGCGCATTGTGGGAGGCCGCTCAGGTGGAGAGTGGCTACCTCCAGCTTCGTCTGGGCAGATGCTGCTCTCGGCGGGAGGCCGGGCCCGACGTCCAGGCGGAAGGTCACGCCGTTCGTGGTCACCCATGGGGGTTGCCGGCTAGCGAGGATGGGCTCGATCGGCTACGACACGCCAGCCGCCTCCCAAACCTCCGTGCCCACCTGTCTCCAACCAGTGACGGAGGACAGGCGCGCCGGCACCACCTCGTCGGCGACGGTGCGGAGCGGGTCCTCGCGCGGCAGGGCTCTCGCCTTGGCCAGGAAGCGGGCCGCCAGCGAGAGACGCCGCGCCGAGACCGGGGGCATACCGGCTTCCGCCAGCAGCGCGTGGGTCCGTGTTGAGACGGGGCAGCGCGTGATCACGCGCGCGGCCGCCCGCACTTCACGTTCGAGGATCTCGACGTGGGAAGCGGGCGTGGCAGGCAGCCAGGCCGCAGCAGCATGTTCTTGGGGGCCCCTGACATATCCATTGGCCACCGCTCGACGTTGCTGTTCTCGGAGGCCCCAGTCACGCCCAGTTAGCCTCTTGAGCTGGGCTATCCGGGGACGAGTCTTCTGTCGCAGATTTCTGCAGTGCGCCCCGAAGTGGAGGGTGCGGTCTAGAGTAACTCCAAGGAGTTTCAGCTGGGCGCCCGCGGCCACGGTCTCCCCTGCTACCTTGATGTAGCAGTCGACTGCGTCCTTGGGGGCTTGAGAGAGGACCAGCACCTGAGTTTTTTCGCTCGCCACCCTCATCTTCGAGGCGATGGCCCACTGCACCAGAACATCAGCCGCTTGCTGGGCTCTCCGCCGTGCGACCAGGATGGTGTTGCCAGAGCATAGCGTCGCCGTGTCGTCGGCGTACATGTACGGCGTCGTGCCTGGGATCTTCTTCAGGGCGTCTGCCAGTGGCGCCGCCCATAACAGGAACAGGGTCGGCGCCAACACGGTTCCCTGTGGCAGACCTGCTCTGAAGATTCGCTCGCGGCTCTTGGTGCCATTAACTTCTGTGTGAGCTCGGCGGTCGCGGAGGAAGCTCCAGATCCAGGTGATGAGGCAGAGTGGTATGCCTTGTTGCAACAGTCGGACGCGGAGTAGCCGATGATCCGCCGTGTCGTAGGCTCGGGAGAAGTCGAACGCCGTCAGGACGTAGCGTTGGGCCGTCTCGCCGTCCGCTGGCTGCTTCTTACGCGATCGCGGGCGCTGCCATCCGTCCTGAACCTGCTGCACCAGTCGCCCCAGGCTGTCCTCCACGGAGCGGCCCTCACGGAAGCCCACCTGTTCGGGTGGGATTAGGTTCCGGGCCGCTACAACGTGGTTCAATCTGCTGAGGACTAGGCGTTCGACCAGCTTGGAGACGTGACTGGTGAGCGCGATCGGTCGGTATGAGGAGATCAGGCGCTTGTCCTTCCCGGCCTTTGGGATAGGGCAGATTGTGGCCTGGCGCCACTCACGTGGGACGGCTCCTTCTTGCCAGCTGCTGTTGATGGCGTGCAGGAGTTCCCGTCGCGCGGTAGGGCCCAGGTGGAGGAGCATCTCAGCCGTGATGCCGTCGGGACCGGGTGTCTTCTTCAACTTGAGAGAGTTCAGCTGCCGGACCAGTTCGTCCATGCTGAAGGCTCCGCAGCATCCCACAGGTCGGACCGCCGCACTGACCGCCGGGTGGCCCAGGGACCCACCCACTCAAACCGGGCCAGCTGAGGGAACCACCACACCCACCGGAGCCCACCACATCCAGCGGGTCAGCTGAGGGAGCCACCACCCCCGGTGGGTCAGCTGAGGGTCCCGTCTCCCCCGCCAGGTCGGACCGCCGGACTGAGCGCCGGTCGGGGGACCCACCACATCCACCACACCCACTGGGTCAGCTGAGGGACCCAGCACACCCACCGGGACCCTGCCAGGTCGGACAGTCGGCCGGGTCTACCGAGGACCCATTACCCGGCTGATGGTCGACCCCCCCCCCCCCGCCGGGTCAGCCGAGGGACCTACCTACCCCCACTGGGTCAGCTGATGGTCCCCCACCCACCGAGTTACCCTGCAGCACTCCGCCACCCGGCTGGTTCCTTGACCAATAGCCACCCTCGCCGGCCCGGCTGGAATATTCCGATCCCTGGATGGAATCTTCCTATACCCCGTCAATCATCCGCCAATCGAAATCCATTTTTGTCGTTCTATTTTGTGATTCATTTTGGCCTTCATCGTCATTTCTTTAATATGGCAATGAATAACCAAAATCAGTGCCCAAATGTCTGACCAGTGCATTGGAGCTGCGTCCCCTACCCGTTCCGTATCGGCCGCTGTCCATTCTGTGTCAGCCGCGCCGTGCTGGCACTGGTGGCCTGTGCCGCTCTGCTGACTGCGCACTACGGACGGTCACGTGTCGATGGGGCCGGTTCCGGCTGTGTCAGGTGTTCCGGCTGTGTGTCGGACTGTTCCCCCGCCCTGGTACTGCTGTAACACTGCTGTTGCGCAGCTTTGTGCTACTTCTCGCTGTGCGGTACTGTGCTGTGCTCTGCTGCGCTCCTCGCACCAGGACTGAGCTGTGTGTCGTTTGGCGTCGTACCTCGGTCCGACCGCCCCGCCCGCCCCCGGCGCTCATTGTGCTGAACTTGCTGACCGGCCGGACCGATGGTCCTATGGTAAGCCGCCCCCGCGGCGCCCCCCGGGTGACTCTGCTGACGGTGTCCCTGTCCGGCCCTGTCAGCAGATGACGCGGCGGCCGGCGGAGCGCAGAAAGAGGCCGGGGCGGAGGAGAGAGCGGCCCACACCGGGGAGACCCAGGCGGCCGCCAAGGGCACCAGTGCCGGCGCCGACCCGGAGCTCGACAAGGACTGCCTGATGAAGTATGTCAAGATCAAGACGCGCCACATCACTGACGGACAGGTGGGGAGCTGTTACGCTTAGTTGAACAATACGACAGTGGTGTCAGGTGTGACACCCACCGGCGTGTTCACCCTCACGCAAATCTTGGTAGAGGACCACATAGTTAGGAGAAGTTGTGAACCTTTGTAATATGTTATTTTGCATAAATTTTCACCAAAATCCATTACTCACCCATCCACACCTCGTTTCAGTTTCACGGGCCACAGTGTTGTTATCGCTATCGCTATCGCTCTTTGCGTGCGGATCAATATCGTAATGTAAACCACATGTCTATATATCGCCATGTAAACCACATGGCGTTACCAGTAGATCCAAACGCCAGTTCAGGTGCCCAAGGAGTCTGTCCCGGTACTGGCGACCTTTGACGCTAATGCCAGTAGCTGCCCGGATAAATGAATCACTGGGTGTACTCAGAGGTGCTCGAAATATAGTCCATATTTAGCTGTTCAAAGGGCAGTTCTATATAAAGGCAGTGAGATTAGACTGTTTCTGTGACGCTGGTCTAAATCATCTACTGCAGGGCTGACTAATGTATATGTCATGAACGCGGATAACTTTAGGTGAAAACGGATCGGTTCAGATTAATTCAGCTTCAAAGTTTGGTTCTGTGTGACATATGCCATTTGTAAACAGAATGTCTGATTTGGGAACTGTACGGTCTCGTGAGAATGTACACTGTGCTGATTATTTTTAGGTTTGTTGCTATTGGCCCTCTCTCTTTTCCATATCACTAACCCTTACTGACCCCCCACTAAGCCTAAAAGTGGAACTACAAAAAGAGCAGAAGTAAACTCTCTCTGTTCCGTCACTCTGTCCTTGTCCCTACCGGCTGTCCCTACCTCTGTCTACATCCCTGTCCCTGCCCCTACCCTTTCCCCCTGCCCTCCCCCTGCCCCTGTCTCAGTCCCTGTCCCTACCCTTCCCCCCTGCCCCTACCCCTGCCCTACCCCCTACCCCCTACCCCCTGCCCCTGTCCCAGCCCCTGTCCCTGTCCCTAACCCTGCCCCTGTCCCAGCCCCTGTCCCTGTCCCTAACCCTGTCTCCACCCCTACCCCCTGGCCCCTACCCCTGCCCCTGCCCCTGCCCTTGCCCCTGTCTCTATCCCCGCGCCTGCCCCTGTCTCTGTCCGAACGGACCCGGAAGTAAGACCCGAGGGTGACCCCGTCTGTCACTCCGCCAGTACGGATTCCCGCTCCACGGCGACGCTCAGCCCAGTCCCCGGATTTGCATTCTCATTTAGGCTTTGATGGCCAGGATTGGCTCGTGAACGCGAATGGCAAGCGACTGGAGCCTGGGCTGCGCGCTAAATCAGCAGCCTGTTGTGGGCACTGAGCGTTTAGCGCCCTGCTTCATTTTACGGTGATTGCAAAGCGTTAGATGTTGTGTGTACTCTGTACTGTGAACTTGTGTACTGTAAATCGCTTTGCATTTTCCCTGGCACTGCTCGCTGGTACCGTGCGTCAGCTCCATCGCTCAGTATCACATATGTCAGCGAAGAGCCCCGGTATCTGTCTTACACTTGCAACGTAGTCAGTGGTGCCCCCCCCCCAAACTGTTTCATGTACGACTTTAGTGTCCTGTGGTGACCCCAGTGATAATGTTGGTGACCCCAGTGACTTAGGTTGGTGAGTGGTGACCCCACTGACCTTGGCGTCTCCTCTCACAGGGATTGGTGACCGGCACGCTGTTGGTCACCCCCAACTGTCTGATGTTCGACCTCAGTGACCTCTGTTGCCGCTGCCCCACAGGGTGTCGTGACGGGCACGCTGCTGGTCACCCCCAATTGTCTGATGTTCGACCCGAACGTCTCGGACCCGCTGGTCCTGGAGCACGGCGCCGACAAGTACTGCGTCATGGTGCCGATGGACTACATCGTATCGGCGGCGCTCTACACCGACATCGCGCACATGAAGGTCAAGGACCGCGGCAACATCCCGCTGTGAGTCCCGTAGGGTCAAATATCGATTGCTGTTCTTGTTTGTACGCGCGTATGGTGGAGTCAGGCTCTTTTTAGGACTACTGCCCGCTGATGAGAGGCCTGCTAAGGCCAAATAGGAATCGTGGGATGTGAAGCACTTGCCACTACTGTTCACACTGTCCGGTGCTCGGTGATTGGAGTCGCGGCTGTCTTGTCACAGCTGACGGTCAGCTGCTGACCGTCAGTGTAGGTGGCGCTGATTGTTCATCCTGTACTGCCCACCGCGGCTATACCGACTGCCTCCGGCTTCTAACAACAGTGTGTATTCATTCCAGACCGGACCTTCCTGCGCCGGAGGTGTACCACGCGCCACCGAAGGGCACTCCGTCGCCATCAGCCACGCCTGCCCCGGCCCCGACTCCTACCCCGACCCCGGCGCCTGCCGGTGAGCAGTCAGCGTCTGACTCTGCCGAGGGCCGGACGGAGCTGACCGAGGCCGCCCCGGCCGCCCAGGTGCCGCCGGCGGCACCGGAGGGCGAGGAGCGCGCCCCGCTCCAGGAGCAGGAGTCCACTGAGGAGCCGGGCCAGGAGGCGGACGGCGGCTCGCTCTCCAAGGAGCTGACGTTTCCGGAGCTGAGCCTGCGCAGCGGCTCCCAGGAGGAGGAGGAGCCGGCCGAGCCGCGAGACACGGCCGCCTTCCCCAAGGCGTTCGACTGCGGCTTGGTGACGCCCGAGACGGCGCTGGGCGACGGTGACGGCGCTCAGAGTCGGCCGGCGCCGCCCGCCGACAGGGAGGCCGCCGAGCGCGGCGAGACGGGCGAGCCGGCCGACCGGCGCTCCGTGCAGTTCACCCAGCGCGCCGAGTCGCACCCCGACGAGCTGGACGAGACCAAAAAACAAAAGGTACGACTGGACTGGCTGGGTAGATGGCGGGTCTGGTGTAGGTACTGACCCGTCTGATGTAAATCGCATTTTCAGTGGTTAACTTAGGCTCACCGATACTGGTCATGACCTTACATTAAGATTCATGCATACATTCATAGTGTACCAGATCCTCATACTTGGCATAAGTCAAAGTGGGTGTTTGCTGCTCCTCTAGGATACCACCACGCTCTACTGACCGTCGCTCCTACCTCTCCATCCCTCTAACCTGCCCAGTTGTCTCCTCTGACCGGCCCCATCCCCCTGACCCGTCCCACTGACCCTATCGCCTGCCCTCTGACCCAGTCTGACCGTCCGACAGCTGCTGAAGCGCCTGTCGCACCCGCTGACCTGGATGGAGAGCCTGTCGGGCACCCAGGACCGCGAGCCGACGCCCTCCTCGGCGCCGCCGCACATCGAGAACATCCCAAAGTCGATGCTGTCCAACGTGGTCTCCTCAGTGTCGTCCGTCTCCAGCGCGCTAGTGAGGTGAGGTTGTGGCGGGTGTGGGCGCGGAGGGCCGGGTACTGCCAGTGAGAACCCCTGCCCTGGTCTGGTCTGGCGCAGTCAGCGGGGCTCCCCTCGGGGAATGCGAACTCCGGGTGTAGTGCTTAGTTCAGCATCTTACATTTTGCTGGGGTTTATTATATGTATGTGTGCTATGCCAAATCGGGCTGAATGTGTTCTGGTTGATCATTCTATTCGATAGTTTTTGTAGTTTTCGCTTGATGATTGCTGCTATTGGAATGTAATGACTTTTGCACCAAAGCCTGCTGTAGTTGGATTTGCAATAAATGTCTCGGTCATTAAACCAGTGTAAATATTGCAGTGAAAATATTGAATAGCATTAATGCAGTCGCGGCATCCGCTTATTCCCGGCCTCCTCTAGCCCCTATCCTCCATGGCTTATTCACATAATATCTTATGATAAAAAATCACAAACTGGGCACTGAGCAGCAAATCATTTCCAGATTATTCTAATGTGTGCCTGACATCAACAATAATTATTATTATGCCGTCTTAGGAGCATACTAAGCAATATTTACATTGATTGCGTTAAAGCACCTTGTTATGGAGCGCGTACCCGGCAGTGGCAAGGCACTGCGGCCTGCTGACAAGGTAAAGACGCTTACGTGCTATAAGCCGGCCTGGGTGTGGTCGGTGCCTGTGTAAATTATTGCGCACGAGTGCGGAGAGATGGCGATTCTGGCTGTCGCTGTGATTGAAGTCTGCTTAGCTCGGGGGACCATGCACCAGGCTCGTGTTGTCCTCTGCACTCGGCGCCATTCCTTCTCGGCTCTGTGACGTCAAATGATGTCGTCTGATGTCACCGGTGGCGCTGGAGGATAGCTGGGGAGGGGGGAGGGATCCTCTCCGCGGCAGACACCAGGCTGCGACATCTCCCGTCCGGGCTGGGGTACATTCGGACAGTGATTCTTTGGCCGACAAGACCGCTGGCTGTCCACAAAGCTTGGGTAAAGTGAGGTTTACATCTACCGTGGCTAGGCAACAAAGGGGAGAAGTTTGCTTAGACCGATATGACCTGAGACGGGCGTCACGCCGCCTGGGCTAGTGCTGTGAGTTTACCATTCAGACGTAGGCTGTAAGTTGTACGAACTCTCGGGAAAACGAAGGGATGTGACGGCATTTAGAACGCTCTCGGGCTTGCATAAGCGTAAAGCCGATTATAGTGGAAACTACGGCAGAAACGTACAGGAAAGGCAGCGTAAATTTGCAGTATATCGTGATGCTTGAGCTGAGTAGCGCAGCCTGATAACAGGAAACTTGAGGCAATCAGTGAACGACAGATTTTCACAGAAATCATAAACGAATAAACATGCCGGAGACTGACGCGAGCCTCCCCAGATAGGCCTGCAATCCATTTCTGACACCTTGGTTCGGTAAGACTCTGGCCTCCACTGGTTCCCTGACCTTTTGGTCCACCTCACACCTCACTCTGTCTTGCCAACCCTCGCCTGGCGCAGCCGACCCTCCCTCCGCCCGCCGGACCGTCCGACTACCGCTGGCCACTGACGGGCCGCCGCCGGCCGCCCGCAGCTCGCCGCGCTATATCGTTGACCTGGGCAGCGGTCTGCTCAGCTCCCTGTCTCCGGCCGAGATGGAACAGACTGCCGGTCAGGGTGGCGTGGCGCCCGCCGCCCCCGCCCCCGCCCCCGCCGCCGCCGCTGAGTCGGCCGGCGGCGGCGGGCGGACCGGTGCTGACGAGGACGGCAGGCGGGAGGGAAACTCGACCTTCTACTCCGAGTAAGTCGGGCACGGGCTTGTGCCCGTGTGGTGGTCGTGAGTAAGTAGAGCACGGGCCTGTGTGGTGGTCGTGACTCGGTGAGTGGGTCGGGGACAGGTCTGGGTTGTCACCGAGACGACTAGCTTCTAGTGACTCGTTTGTCCGAGCTTTGGTGTCGTTGTTTGTGCCGGTAACCCGAAGCATCGTCTTTGAAATGCCTTCAGAATCAGCTAACTAACACACCTCAACCTTTGCCGAGATTTTCACAAAGCGTTATCTCGCGTCGTCCAGAACTGTTCCACGGTTGTTCGGCCGGTGACCGTGGTCCACATAGGCGCTCAAACGTTAGAGCGAGCTCGTTTGCCGTTCGGAGGAGACCTGACGGCTGACGGTGCGTGCCAGGACACATTTTGGTCGGACGCCCGCGACCCCTGCTCTATCCGTACACCAGGCACGAGTTCGCTCGGTTTTCCCAGGAGAGGCGGGCTGAGAGTTTCAGTGAGCCTCTCCGGATATTATGCCATCTTGAACGGAATACCCGAAACAGACGGAAAGCCCGGGCGATTCGCTGACCCGTGGTAGCAAGAAAAACCCTCCGCAGTGTGTAAGACCGGGGCTGTCTGACGACCTGCCTTTGGTGCCTGGTGGTAATTCCTGTGGATCAGCATGGGTGCAACAGTTCACACTTACAAAATGAACGGCATGATTGTGTGTACTCTCACCATTTTACCGGCATGCCTTACACCGACACTGCAATTTTCATCTTTTCTCTTATCTTTGGGATTATCTTTGCCTGCAAGCATGCAAAAATGCTATCGTCGACTCTCATCAGCTGCCACTGCGCTTTGTGTGACTTGACTTGAAGATATGGCCTCAATGGCTGCTAGCTGCATGTCACTAACCGCTGGCTTCTTTTTCTGACCCACAAACAGAGACCGTTTGGGACAGGTGACCTTATTACCGCCCGCGGTATGTATAGACGGCTATTTTCCGACACTAGTCGCGGCACTGTGATGATTGTATCACCAGCCGCCGGAGCAGGGCCGCTCCTGACCGGCACGCGCCGCACAGGTCAGGGTGGGCAGACACCGCCCACTCGGCCGACCACTGCGGGCCGGGCCGGGCCAGGGCGGGCCGGTTTTTCAGCGGCGCCCCCAGCTGCCGGTCAGCCGCTGGGTGCGGGGTGGACGTGTGTGGGGTTCACTGTCACCGCTGCGCGGCGTGGTTTGCTATGTGCAGGTGGTGGAAAATATGGGACGCACGCAGCCTGCTTGACAGCATGCGTGCTATAAAGAAATGTATGAATAACTGTATTGTATAAACAATGTTGTTTTATAGTTTGCGCTGTTGAAGCGCGGCTGACCCTCTCTTACTGCTCCTCCGTCTCTGAGTGTCCCTCTACATACCGTAACGGTTCCCTGTGTGTCTGCGACAGGCGCTCCTCGGTCGACCGGAAGCCCAAGTCGCAGGGCAGCTTCGGCGGCTACAAGAACCTCGTGTCGATGGACGAGATGCCGTCCCTCTTCACCTCGTTCGACAGTGAGTCTCTGAGCTGGCTGGCGTCACGGGGCGGGCTAGCATTGGGCAGGGCAGGAGCTACTGTCGGTGTTCATACGATATTAACGAGAGAGGAAGTTCAGAGTTCAATGAACAGTATGTACGTGTAAGGCGTTCTCTCTCATTGATGATGATTGTTGTGTGAAGTGATCATGTAACACTGCTGTGGATTTACCGCTTGGGCTGTGACTAACACAAAGCCCTTCCACAGTCAAAAGCACATGCTTTCCCGGCTATGACGGTATTGGTACGTTTCAAGCGGGAGTCACGTTTTTCTCTAGCTGTACCCTGGCATCAATGTGTTTGTTTGATGGCCTGCCGGCGTGTGCGTGTGTGTGCATCTGAAAGTGTTTTATACCCTGTTCTTCCTTAGCCTTTTGCTTAAATTTTGTGAAAAGTATTCATTTCCGTTTCCCGCATTTATTGTACCGCGGGACTGCGTTTGGTAACCTGTGGTACTGAACCACGTCCCGGTCTCTGTACCACCTGTAAATGCCCCGTCTTATACATAAATGTTATTTCGCCTCCCCGGTTTTGCTTGTAGGGCTGCTGAGCTCTTCATTTGAACACCTTTACATTTCTCATTAACGCATGCAGTTGTGCCCTTTCCGTTATATACATGCACTGCACCACCAATCTGGGTAACACTACATTAACAATATATCTCCCGATAACTTTGTGGAATGTTTTGTGCTGTTGGTTTTGCCTTGGCCAGGCCTGTTTTTCATATTGCCGAATTTTTCTTCTCTGATCTCTGTCATTTGGGTGTCGGCTTATCCAGCTTCTTTCGACACAGGATTTCATATCAGAATCCCTGTTTGGCTGCGGCTAACCACGGCTATATGCCGTCACCCGCCTGCCTTGTTAAGAATAACTGCTGAATTGTTTGACAGGCCGGCGAATGCCTTTTGCATTACCAGTTATTTCTCCTATATCTGCATCTAACAACCGTGCTGGCCTATGTGGAAAGGCTGTATTTGTTTGATGGTCGTTAGCAAATACAACTATCGTTATCAAATAGCCGGCAAATTCCACATACCTATTGAGGATATGTCAAATGCCGTCACATCTCTCGTATGTGGTTGTGTCGTGTGCCACGGTTTTTCTTCTAAGGTTGCTTGGTAACGCGCAGTGCTATGGTGTCCTGTGCCGCCCGAGCTCCTGTGTCCCGCGGTGCCCCGTGCCGCCGGTGTGCCTTCCGTGCCGCTTCTGACCGGCGCCTCCCCGCAGAGCTGATCCCCAAACCTTCGAAGGCGGCCGACGACCCGCCGCTCTACCTCTGCCTCATCATGGGCAAACGGCGCGGCCGCAAAATCCGCAAAACGGTGCGCATCCTATCGTACGGCGAGGAGAAGCTGCGCTCAGAGTTCTGGTTCTCCATACCGCGCGAAAAGTGAGTCTGCGGGCTGGCGGAGGGCATGGGCCGTCAGTGGGTGTGGGGAGGGGAGGCTGGAACCGGGCTGGCCCGAGGCCCGCTGTGTCGAAATAACACAATGTAATCGGACTCACCAGCGTGAGCGCTGCGCCGCTAAGCACATTGTTTAAATCCGAATAGTTTGCGCGGATAAATGTCTCAGCACGCTAAACGACAACGTCATAACAGACTAGAGGCTTAGTTAGATGAAAACGTAGATTGTTGCAAGAAATGTTGTGGCTGAACACGGCTTGTTGGTCTTTAAATGGAATACCTTTGGTTAACCCGCTGCCACTTAGTGCGTAACACAAGTGTCGGTGTCAAACCCGGCGAGTTTACCGATTCAGCCGAGCTATGTCTCGTGTGTCGTGTGTCCGCAGCGCTGCCATTACTCTCCCTAACCTGTCCGGTGGACGGCGTCTGACGGCAACCCTCCCCCGCAGGTGTGACCAGCTGTACCACTTCATTCAGTACTGGGCGCCCGAGATCTACGGCAGTCTGGAGACCACCAAACCGGAGGAGCGCGGCTTCGAGCTGGTCGACTCCGACTCCGGTGAGTCGCCGCCCGCGCGCTGGGAGTGGGGCAGGGACGCTGGCCGGTGTCCGGTAGAGTTTTGGCAGAGAAGGTGGCTCAGACTCAGCAGTGCTGCTCTATTTTCTGTATTTGTTTTAAGTTGCAGGAAAATTCGTGGTCACTTGTTACCGTGGGTATTTTTTAGCTACAATAGTTGTGTACAAATAATTTTCAGCAGTGCGCATCAGCTGCCAGCAAAGTTGTTTTTCAGATACGTCGCTGAGTTGATTTAGTGTTATGCCGTCATGGTTGACAGCTTCTGAGAGAAGAAGATGCGCCCAGTCTGTTTATCATTGAGGATTTTTGGGAATTTTCCGCTTAGCCGTCCCGGCTTTATTTGATTTATTTGCGGCTCGTGGCCGTGCAAAAACACCAACAGTGGGGCCTCGCAGCGATAGCGGTTGCATCAGGCGCTTTTTTGCAGTAGGGAGATTCACCATCAAATGTTTCTATAGTTTGCTCATAATGCTAATAAAATGTTGAATGAGGAAACGTGTTACGGATTGTATGCATTAGCTATGTATTCCTTTCCATATCTTGATTTGCCAAATGACATTTTAAGGTCGATCGGTTTCTGGTCACCGAGCACTGTTTATTTTTGACCGCAAAATCACAACATAGTATGTTTATTCGAAAAAACATGAAATTAATTGACAGCTACTCTCTCAAGTAATAATGTTATCGGTTCTTCAGGACGTTATCTCTGATCGATGTATTCCTTTTAGAATGAAAAGCTACCGATTCGTTTAGATCATCACTTCGGTGTCTGGGTTTGATGCGAAACCTGTCAGTTTGTCGGGTGTTATTTTTCCATTTCCATGTCAGTGCACTTCAAAGGTCAGCTAATACCTCAGAAATTGATAGAGCGTTCCCGGCATTGGATGTTTTGAGGCTGACGCCATTTCCGTTGGTCGTTTGCGGCTTCCGACTCTTCAACCGCTGTGTTTTTCGATAACAGCGGCCTCTCGGGATTGATGGTATGTGGGGCCTCCGTGACATTTGGCGGACAATGTTTTGTGGTTGATGCGGACAGGCGATGCCGTCTCACCAGGCACACTTCGCATCCCCGTCACACCGTCAGAAGTTAAACACCTTTTCAGTTCAGAAGTTACACAACATTACAGCGTCACAAGAACTGCTGCTCAGGTGGCAGAGTTTTAGAGGAGATGGAGAGCGGCGACACGGCTTTTTCTGTGGCAAAGAGAGGAGGTGTCTGCTTGAACCGACCGTCGTTGGGAAGAAGGATACATTAGGGTCGAACCAGGGCCTCGCTGGGAGTCGGCACACTAAGCTCAGTTCACGGAGACAGATACACCGGCGCGTGCTCCTCACGGCCGGTGCTCCCAGAGCGGTAAAGTGAGCAGTGAACTGGGGAAATTAACCGTACTGAACTGAGACACCTGCGCCAGCCACTGGTGGTCGCGGACCGTCAGCGCGAGAGATTATGTGCATCACACCACAGGCTACATCGATGAGCTTGGTTTTACTATTTAACTGCAGCTAAGTTTATTTTTGGCACACAACTGACCGCAGATTAGTGTCTCAGGGGCCGATCGTGTATGAACATTCAACCGCAACAGTATTGCGTGTTGTCGTAGTATGACACATGCTACCCCAAGGCTTAAAAAGTTGGAAACTATTTGTATTATGAAGCTATCGCAAACCTATCAGGAGCGTTGCTATGCGCAATGCATAGCTATAAAAATTACCTGGAAAAATATGATACATGGCCAATTAATAACACGCTCCTACAGAGCGTTATCCTAGCCACATCATCAGCCTTGGTGCATGTGACGTGAGCAGGGGTCATAGTTTGTAGCCAATATTCTAAGCTTAATTCTGTGTTATCTTGGGATATTAATCTCGATGACTTATGCAGCAACTCTTGCTTCATGTCATTCTTGGGAAACTGAATAAAATTGACTTAATTTGATGACGAAAAATGTCTCACCTTCAGTGGGATGAGGGTCTTCATTTATGAATGTATGCTGCCTTTCTGATGCATGTAGCGTGAGCAGGAACCACAAGGGAAAGGGAAATATCCGTTTTCTGTATCGATTGTAGGGGAGAGTGGGGAAAGATGCCCAGGGGTTTGTTATGTCATAAATTATTCGAAAATGACAATCGGAAAGCAAAAACTTGGAGTTTCAATGGAAGCCGACATCATTTTTCTCCACAAAATACCACACTTTTGTGCTTGAAATGTTATAACTTTTTTGCTATTGATCATTTTCCTGAAGTAGTGAAAGGGGGCATCTTACCCCAGAGGGTGGGAAAGACTCCCCTGGGGCTGGGTAAGATGCCCCTTCGCACTACAAGTGACAAAAATGGGCACGTGAATTGCCTGAACGAATCAGTTCCATTCGAGCCTGCGGTAGACACTTAACCCGCGCACCGACGGGGGGGGGGCGGATATCCGCCCCCCCCCCCCTGAGGTTTTTCGCGAATAGCGGGCGAAATTTGATATGAGTATAACCTCATCAATTTTACACATGGTGTGCAAGTTTGAACCTCCTACCTTTCAAGGTCAGGTCACCAGGTCACTTTGAATGACCCAAACTCAAGTCACTTTTTTGCAACTTTGTCACCGTGCCAGAGCTACAGTAGATGTCGGAGGCCTTTGAAAGTCGCAGGATGTTATTAGGTCATAAGTAGCTACAATTTGTATATCTCGGAATTTTGATATCGGTGACCTAAGGTCAGGTCAATTTCGCGACCTCCCCATTATAAGTCAATGGGGGAAAAATCAACTCCCTGTTTTTACCACTAAAACGGGTCGGAATGGCCCCATATACCATACATGACTTCATATACGATCAACCTTCACTACCTTGAGGTCTGTTTTGCTGTTGGGCAGCTGTGAGGTCATGTGACGTCATCAAAGGTCACCAAAGGTTTTTGGCCAATAACTCCGTACAGGAACAAGATACAGACGCGAGGATGGTCTCATTGTGTTCAGCTCGTCAAGACGCATCGAATGATACACATGATGACCTCGAGGTCACTTGACCTGAGGTCAACCTTTGACCTTGACCTTTCGAGGTCAACATATATATCATTCGATGCGGATTGACGAGAGGATCACGATGATGCCCTTAGTTTGTTCCTATCTTGACTAGTTCGAAAGTTATTCGAGAAAAACTCTCTCCATATTTAGCGCCGCCATTTTGACTTTTTCGACCCCTGTGACGTCATCTTTGACCTGACCTGAAGATGACCTTAGTAAAAATTGTAGATCTTGACCGTGCGTATCCGATGCCGTTTACCGCTTGTCGCTATCTTGCTTCGTTCTCGAGATCTCAGGGGGGGGGGGGCGGTCATCCGCCCCCCCCCCCCCCCCGTCGGTACTAAGTTGGCGCAGACCCCCGTCGGTGCGCGGGTTAAACGCCATCACAAGGGCCCTAAAAAGTCGTCGTGAGGGGCTTCATAGGTCATCGTGAGGGCCATCATAGTCCAGCGCGGCCAAACAAGCCTCCGTGGTGACGTTCGGAGACCGTTGTGGGGCCCTTATTAGGTCTTCATGAGACTTGAGGGCCCTCAAGACCATCGTGGGGACCTCAGATGCCAGCGCAGCCCGTGGGGTCGGCGTGGGAGCTCTCAAAGAGTGTCGTAAGGGGCATCGGAGCCAATAATGGGACCCACAGAGACCGTCGTGAGGGCTCTCAGAGTCAGATGCCGCCCAAAAAGTCGGCGTATGGGCCAGGAGGCCGATATGGCGAGCACCTGACCTATTGGACTCTCATGATGGTCCCAAATAGGCTTTTGTCTCTCTTCACAAGTATGTACTAAATGATCCGACAAGTTCCTTGAAGGGCAGCCCACGGATTTAGGGGGGCGTCTTTCCCCATCAGGTCAGGGGGCATCTTTCCCCAAGGTACGGAATTGACATTTAATCAGTAAAACTTGTTAATACTAAAACTACACCCTGAAACAACTAGTTGGGACAAAGTACACGCATATGAATGTATCACGACAATAGCAAGGGACTTTGAAAATTATATATCTTCTTTGTTTTTCACAATATTTTGACACTAAAATATTTTTTGAAAACAGCACATATAAAACAAGCAAACACCAGCCCACCGTTGCCAAACTGAGCTTGGCAAATTTGTGTGCAGTAAACAAGGAAGGTTTCCGCTTTACGCTAAAAACATTAATTTCCAGGTAATATTTTTTGTTTTGCCGTTAGAGGGGGTGGGGCGTCTTTCCCACCCTGGGCATCTTACCCCACTCTCCCCTATGACATTACTAATGCACGAGTTTCATGAACAAAGATCGTGAAAAACCGAAATTTTTAGGTCAGTCTTGAGGTGATTAAGGCATGTCCTTGATCATGGTCCTAGAAAGACGCAAATCTTTGGGCTTTCATACTCATTGCCAGTGAAAGAACGTATTTATACATTTTCTTGTATCTGCGCCCACTCGATCCTTTCTTTAATATTAAGTTAGTTATTATGCTGTTTTTGAAAGATGATTAGGTACTATGTCGCACTAAAAGGTTAAGATAAGCTTCGCCTCCTGTGTTTATGTGTGGCCCACATACAATTTAGAACGCGCCATGCATGGTGATAATATGACATGATACAAACCGTTTGTTGTTGGCAATAGCGCGATACATAGTGAAACAACTAAGGGAGATAACATCACACGCGCGCTCATGAACTTATCACCCGCCTGTGAAATCCGGCGTGCCAACGGGATCCAGTGCATCGTTTGCAGTAGGTCCGTCCGTTTTCCGGCTTAGCGCTGTTATTTTTTAGCAGGTTCTTTACATTAACCATGATATTGGAACTAAGCTTGGATGTATCTTTTTACCTATTTTTATAGAACAATTATAAAAAAAAAATGGTCAGACTTGCCTAACAAGCACCGTTGTATGTTATCGGCGCGCAGCTCTGCAATGGTTTGTGTCCTGCGATGGTTTGCGGGCTCGTTTCTCTGTACCACTGACTGACTCGTTCCCCCTGTCGACAGATATCTGGGAGTGTGAGGAGGGCGACGCGACGGCGTCCAGTGACGCCGCACCGGGCGAGTCGGGTCTCATGGACCTGCCCAAACAGCTGCCCAAGCAGAGCTGGGAGGTGAGTGGCGGCCGGGACCGGTACCGGGCGCCGTGTGTACGGGGTACGGGTGGGCGGACCCGGGAGGTGGGGTGGTCTGTGATCTGACTCACCGATCTGCGTTGCATTCTCACCCGGTCTGCTAACTCTATTTACTTCTCTTTTTCCGATTGCGCTACACTTTATCTACTCTGAACTAATCTTCTTGTCTTATTCACATCTAACTATCTCTTTCACGGCACCGTGCTATCTCTGTCTCTCCTCTGTGGATTCTCTGATTGGCGGCTGACCGATTACCGCTTCTGCGCCGGGTCTCGGCCGCCCCCGTCTGTGTGTCTGTCTGTGTCTGTGTCTGCGGTCGTGTGTCTGCCGGCGGGTGGCCGCGCTCTGTCTGACCACAGCCCGTCGCTCCGCCCCGCTCAGGTGATAAAGGCCCCCTACGTAAAGCTGTATAGTATGATCAAAAGCCAGACTTCGGCCACGTCAGAGGAGGAATTTAGCGAGGTAACCGGCCGGCCGCGCCACGCCGCGCCGCAACGGTAGCTAGAGATAGAGCGCGCCGTAGCTGTACCCGCCTCTGCTCCGCCGGGCCCTAGTCACTGTTAGAGCCGCCCCTCACTGCCCCTCCACCCGCTGCCTTGGACCTTATCCCAGCCCCGGTCCCTCCAGCGAGCGATTTTCCGCTTCTTATGTCATACGTTCCTGTCAGTGCCGGCAGCGGTCCGACGTTTTACGTGTCGGTACAAAAACATATCAGCTGCACTTGTTTGTTTGGCGGATAAAGAAGAACCCAATAAATTTAATTATCTAAAAAAGACAGCTATTTTAATCCCATTTACGCATCGTCAATCAGGATTGGTACCATTTGTTCCCGGCCCCTACCATTGCCACCCTCCTGATATTAGTAATGGCGTCTGGTAGAGTAATTAGAACTGCCCTGTAATCCATGTCTGCATCTTGAGACCCCTCCCCGATATTGCTCTATCGTCTCCTGTGGTTAACACGTGTTCTGCCATCTTCCATCGTCCGTCGTGCCCCATGCCGTTCCTTCCCCTTCCCCAGGCCGGACCCTGCCACTTCTTTGGTTCACCTCGTCCTACTACTTGTGTTTCCCTCATTGTCCCCTTTGTTTCTGCGACTGTTTCCCGTCATTTCCTACCGTTCGTCGCCCTTCACCGTATGTGTGTCCCTCGATGTCCCCGTGTTGCCGTCTTCACTGACCTGCGTAGTGCGCCACCGCGCCCGCCCGCACTGGCTGCCAGTAGGGCCTCTAGTCGCGCTACTCTGCATCGCCCGGCCGTAGGACAGACCGCGACCCCACCCGACCCGACCCGACCCCAGCCGACCCGACCCGACCCCAGCTGACTGGCGGACAAAGGACATCACACGGCACTCAGGACACCAGGCTTACGAATGTCGCTAGTTGATAGTCTGGAGAATTGTACTAAAACGATTTGCTTAGCGGTGAATGATACGGCGCTTTATTGGATGCAAAAAAAGGATTTGTTGAGCTAAATTTATAGTACGACAGAAACGTAAATGGCATAATCGACGCGTTTAAGATTCATCGTTTGTGAATAACTAAAGCGACATTTCTGGAAATTTGAGTTAAGCCACTCGGGGGTGTCGTTTGTCCGCCTGCCATGGTCCGTCCGTCCCGGCACCGTCCCTGCCTCCCTCCCCTGCTGTAGGCAGTGTGTGCGCGCCTGTCTCGGATCTGTGTCTCACTGTGTCCAGCTGCACGGGCCTGGCATCGACGCATGTCAGCTGTCGCCTGCTCGGACCGCGCTGATGGGAGAGGGGGAGCTGTAGAGTGTGGGCGCAGGAGATGTGTGCCGTGTGTCGAGGAGTCACTGTGGAAGAGGCTGAATGTAGGGGTTGAGCAGCGAAAGGGAGTGGTAGATTGTTTGTTTGTTTGTTTTGTTGGGTTAGGCCCTTTCGGTCGACAAGACCATTGCAGAGCCGGAAGGATGATAGGAATTAGGGGGAGACATTGGTCTGGGCAGGCACCCTAGTGAGTCGCCGGGGCTGAGCCCGTCCAGAGGACAGGCCACCCAGCCCCAAGGCACTCACTGCACCCGGCTACGGGGTGCGCTCCCTCAGGAGCAGCGGTGCCGCTCCAAGGGAGCAGCCCGCATGAGATAAAGTTGCCTGTCCAGCCCGGAGGGGGGTTGCGGCGTGGAGGAGAAGGATTTCAGTATCCTGAGGATAGAAGCACGGATAGGTGTGGGAGTGGTAGAGGCAGTCGGGGGTTGTCTGTGTACTGTTTGGTGCTGTGATGATTAAGTGTAGCGAACTGTGCTGTTTCCGTGATGGAAGTATCGTGCTTTGCTCGAGGTGTCTGACTTGCTGGCGTTTGTCTGAGCATGTAGATGTGTCTATGATCAGTGGAGTTCTGTCTCCCTGCGGGGCTGGAGGCGGACTACGGGAGACTTCAAAGTGCTCAGTCAGTTCCGGCGTCACTGCTGAGATCGAGACGGTCTGCCGGTGCCGCTCAGAATTACTAGCAATGCGCTCATTTTCCGCGAGTCTTCATGGTCTCAAAACCTTGGTTGACAATTGATCTCCATGTTGTACGTACGGCATTTGCTTCCTAGACAATTGACATGTGTACCTGATTTCCCTTATAAACACTATCTTGTTGCTTATTTTTATACTGGTGTGAAGGTTTTCTCGTAATTGGTCCCGGAGCTGGCAAACAATTAACCTCTTACGGATATTTTTATTTCCGCATTCACAAAGCTCTGCATTTTTTATAGTTAGATATTTGATTAATCACGTTGTTATCCGTCTAAGTACTAGTTACCCGTATCTCATTAGGGGATGTGGATGGTAATTTGGATTAGACAAAGCCTGCAACGAGGAAGCTGCTGTTTTTATTATTGTAATCATCATAAGCCGGAGAAGGGTCGCCGTTCCTGTGTGGCCTCAACTGCGACTCTCGCGGATTATCTTCTGTTGGCTCTGGTGCTTCAGGGGTAATGCGGACCCTCTGGGACCGTGTCTTCTTATATATATCATCCATACCTCCAGCATACCTTACGGCCATCTCAGCTGACAAGATGAATAGCCAAGAGCCTATCTGAACTGATCTTTGTTGGATTGGGTGGGAAGAAAGTTTGTTCAAAGAGTGACTGATGTTCGGTAATCATATCGTTTGTTTTACCGAGCTGTATATTAATGGAGGCGCCCAGTAACGCCCGGACATATTTTTTGGCAATTGGGGGCTGTGTGGAGCTACTCCTGTGAGTCTCTGACGGTGACTGGGGGTCACCGGTGCCGATCCACAGCAGACGGCCGCCTATTTGCGGCTGATCTGGGTCGAGCGGTGCAGCTGAGGGCTGATGAGGCCTTCAGGGCATAGGCGGCGGAACGGGGAGGGCACCGGGGCACCGTGCCCCCTTTGATTTTGACATTTTAACATTATCCCTATGGGCGTTGCATGGAAAGAATGGGACCAAAAGTCGGCAGTGCCCCCCCCCTTAATTGAAGGTGTTCCGCCGCTACTGCTTCAGGGCCATCTGCCGGTGTAGATCACTATACCTCTGAACGGACTGTGTCTGCGACCAGCCGCCCGGGCCGTGGTATATCTGGACAGACTGGCCGCCCCCCCCCCCCCCACCGCTCGGCCGGGGTATACTCACCCCTCCCCCCTTCCCCCACACTGTTCAGACCGGGTACGCACGCTCCCGTCCCGTGCCGCCGGCCCGTGGCCGTGGCCTTGTCTGCAGCACGGCCGCGACTGTCCCGGCCCGTGGATTATTGGGGAGACACATCCGAGGGTGGCGCGCTGCCGACTGTGTTCCGCGTTGCCCAGCTGCCACGCGGGGTCATGCAACCAGGAAATGTGCACTGTGTCTGTGTGTGAAGGACATCACAGGTTTATCATAAGCCGTTGGGAGTCGGACCGGTGAAGGTGACATGTAGGCTGTTCAAATAGCACGGTCTGCTCATGCATTTAAAGTGATGTTCAAACCCAGCGGATACTCGACTGAAGATGTCATGAAAACTACAGGTGTGTCGCATAGAACTGAAACCGCTCTAACTGATAATGTTATTATCTTTCTCAACTTGGTTTCTGCGACTTTTTATTCAGTTCTTCTGCTCCTAAATGTTCCGCATTTTCCGTGTCTGGCCGCTATACCCTTTATTTTATCTTGTTGCCCTGAGCCACGTACTTGGTGACTGCGACGCGTCACAACACACCACCCCTCCGAGAGAAGCCCGGTGACTGCAACTCTCTGGTGAACCCCGGCCGGTAGCGGGGGCTGTGCGGAGAGTGTGGGGCTCCCGAACCGTCGGCTGTACGACACCTCTAGGGTAGAGGTCGGACTGGTCTCTGAGTCCGCGGGCCGTCTACAGACGCCAGTCCCTGCAGCAGCGCGCTGTCCGGTCCCACTCTCCCCTGATTGCCATGCCGGGCGTGTGAGGAGGACGGTATACCGGCGACAGACACCATTGTGCGGTGTGTCTGGTCTATTGGAAACCGCCCGGCACCGGCTCAGTCCGGTATCGCTGGACGCCTTTTCGCTGCTGCCGTGTCACCGGCAGGGTCACCTGTTCTGACACAGAACACCCGGAGACGACCGAATCTGGGACATCGCAACTGTCATCGCCTCTTCCGTCTCCGATTGTGTCCAGTTCCGTTCTGCTCCGCTCAGAATTCCGCTCAGAATTCCGCGGACGCTGCGAATGGTGTTGTGTTTGCGTCCCACGTAGCTCAGTTAGCCTATCGCACGGGGCATCTGGTGCGAAAGGTGCGCGCTCAGACGCTCGTCGCCGCGCCGCATGGCTCGCCATGTGCCTCGTCACGTGTTGGTTACGTGTTTTTCATGTGTTTCGGCTCGGTCCAAAGGCTCCGGGAGCGGACCGGGAGCTGAGCCTGGCCGGCGGCGGGTAGGTACCGCCTCTCCGGGCCGCCCGTCGCTCGTCGCTCGGCGGCGGCGGTGCGGCGGTAGCCAGTCGTGGGCCGCGCGCCGTCGGGGCAGGGCGTACTCTCGCCGTGGCGCCATGTCGGTGACGATAACGGAACTGTCGGAGCCGGCGCCGGCGCTGGAGCCGGTGCCGGAGACGGAGGGGAAGGAGGAGGAACAGAAGCCGGACGCGGAGCCGGAACAGAGGCGATCGATGAAGCGGCGCATCTCGCTGGCTGACGTGGAGATGTACTTGCGGCCGTTCGATTGGTTCGGCTCGCTGCGGGCCAAAATCAAACACAAGAAGATTCTGTCGCGTCTGCGGCCGGCTAAGAAACAGAAAAAGGTGAGCGCTCGACGAGGGGCGTTTCATACTGGCGATCCGTTTGTGTATGAGGACAATAGCGAAGAAACGTCCTTCAGCACATAGGGGTCTTTTTTATCTGATTTTGCACCGTCAGAGCCGATCGGCTGGTCCCAATTTACGAGCGCGCTCGTCACCCACCACCGCCTCTCGGATGATGTGCGTGTTCGCTGGCCTCGCCACGGTTCCGGCTGGGCCCGAGGTCGGAGGTGACGGCAGTGAATGAC